AACGTTAATCCTCTGTCATTCTAGCCTCTATCCCTCTAATCCGCCGTCCTTTACGTAACAATGTTTTTTTTCTGTGGAATTTCAGAAGCTTTTATGAATTCATAGATAATCATTTACAGTGCACTCCTCTCTCTTTCCCTCGTGCTTGTAGGAATGGTAATATCTGGCCTGGGAGCTGAGAAGACCACAGCACTGCTCTCCTACGGTGAATTATTCAAGTGAATTATATTGAATGTTTTATATTGAAAATAGAATTTTCATTCTAAAAAAAACAAGCATACTTGGCTCATTTGGGAATGGTAACTTCAAAAAAAGATGGTTTTGAGAATCTAAGGCAAGTAGTTGTTCCTTTTCTTTCTTATCCTTCCTTGTATTTCATGTATAAACGTTTGAGCTGGCTCAATAATCCTTTACCATCTGGTCTGTATTCTTGCTTACTTTGTAAAACTACAAGCAAACACATTCAAAGCGTTTTTATGAATCAGACAAAGAGCTATTCTACGCCTGAAAAGTCTCAGCAGAAGCAATACAAGAAGCTGTATTGCCAAATGCTGATTTCTGACAGGATTAATAATTACCATTCAAAAAAGTATGTTTTATGTGAACATAAAGCTTCTACGTGGTTGTCCTTCATTTTCGTGGCTCCTCTTTGCTTTGGCCAACAGTCGCCACTTCTGTTAGAAGTTAGCTATAAGTTAAGAGTAAACTGTCAGGGTTGGTTGATCAGGGTTCACCACTACATGCCAGTTTAGTCATTATTCTGCACTGCAGTCAGTTCAGAGAGCTTTCATTTATCCTTTTGCTTTCCTTCAGGCTGTGAGAGAGTAGGTTGTAGCGAAATGGAGCAGCCTGCCAGTGTAAAGCATGGCACAGGGTGCAGTGGAAAGTCAGCAGGTCATCTATACAAAAGCAACATCAAGCTGAACGGAATTAACTTTGTATCTCAAAAGATCCTGTTACTTCTAACCTCCAGTCTAGAATTCAAAAACGTGTCTATATAGTAGAATTTCCTTCGTAATTGTGCATAAAATTTTAAAAAATACACCATTTATGTGTTAAAAATGTACATGTGCTCTATTTATCTTCAGTCAGACATTCAGTTATAAGATAATTATTCACATTTACTACAAACTAAGTTCAGACTTTGCTGGTTCATCATGAACTATTCTCATTTGCTACGTTTCAGGTCACCTCAAACTTTTCACCTCAAAAGAGGCAAACTTCACTCTAGAATTTTAACAACAGAGGCATCTCTAAATTACACTTTCCCGTCTGTCGACTAGGATTCTTTCAAAATACACAGTTTACAGGCTGAAAGCGTATTTTTACTGTGTCTGTTTCGAATTGTCATATAAATGCCTTGCAAGTATTTCCATTTACCAGAAAATGAGAAGACATTTTTGCTAGTTTATCATGGAACATTCTCTTGAGCACATCTTGAACAAAATTTCAGTAAAAGACGTCACTTTTTTGACAATACTATACAATAGTTTTTCAGTCTTCAGTCTCCATAAAAATACACTGCAATTATTCACATTTCCCACAATAGAAGAGCACATTTTTGCTGGTTTATCATGAGTCAGGTCAGGTCACCTACAAAAAAACCTGAATTGTATTTCAAATGAATCAGGCTTCACTCTGAGTTTTCAATAAGAGACGTCTCTAAACTTTCTTTGCTGTAATGCATGATGGCCAGAATTGAAAAAAGAAAATACACATCTGTTGAAAATAATCAATCTTTAGTCCTCACATAAATACGCTTTAGACAAATTATTTGCTTTTACCATAAAAGAGCGCATTTTTTTAACGCTTCATCATGGAACATTCTCGTGAGTAACCTCGCTATCACGTTACGGCTGAACCCATGTCGGGTTTCCGTCTTGTGAATGTATGACCCCTGTGCTTTGGTGCTCCGTGCTGGGGGGAACGCAGCCAGAAGAGCAGAAACAGAGGCTCCTGAAGTATCTAATTGTATTCATTCATTTTCTCAGCCCAGCATGGTGTTGGGAAAGGCAGAGAGAGGCACAGTGTCTGTTGAGGGAGGGTAGGGGAAGAGATTGCACCCGTTTGCATCCCACCTTGCCAGCAGGACCACTGAGCGTCTTAAGCATGGAAAGACCTGAGCAGAAACTGAGAGAACTGAGCAGAGTCCCTTCATTATGGCCGTTTTGAATCGCCTGAGTCGCAGCGGGAATCAGATGAGTAATTAAGCGGTTAGCGAATCGGGTCTCCAGCTGAGGTGTGAGAAGTTAAAAAGCCTGCACCTGGAGAGTACCAACAAGGTGAGGATGGGGAAAAGATGGTTTTAACTAGTGCGAGGCAATACATCGCCTAAAGCTGTATACCGGTACTTGTGTCTTAATAATACCGATTTTTTGTTTTGGCATTATTGATAGATAACAAAAACTTTTGCTGGGTAATACCAACCTGCTTTCTCTCTGGTTAACACTTACAATACTATATAGCGTTCTAATGTTAAGAGAACAAATTCAACAAAACAAGCCAATCAAACTCAAAGAGTTTCTTTTATCGTAGAGCGCCAGTACTTGGAATTAGGAATCATGAGTTCATTAAGTTTATTAAAGCAAATACCATTTGACACAGTTATACTGTGATACATTTGCGATATTGGATTTTAGCACCTAGCACTAGGTCTAATATAAGCGAGCAGCTTCATAAATAGCTTAAAACAGTGATAGCTGCCAAAATCAGCCACAAATGATTCAGCGACTAAACAAATTTTTATCACTATTATAAAAATCAACTGCGCTTTCTATGTTTTTACGGCAGTGTGGAGTGCCAAATGACTGACCTAAATTGGAGGTTCTCCAAGCAGACAACATAAGGCTCGTACATATGCACAAAATCTGTCATTTGGATACATAATCTCAGGTGAAAATTCCAGTCTCCATGTTCACTCCTGTATCTGACCCTCTATCACCCACAGGGCTGAAAAAAACAGTCAGCATTAACACAGCCTACATAAAGAAATTCACTAACGCGGCAACGTGTCCTCTTTGCGAGGCTGCTTCCTTTCCCCAGGCATAAAGCACAAGCTAAAACAGGCTAGTCTCGGGAAACAATTGATTTCTCTTAGCTAGGAAGAGGTCAAAAGTTTAGCAAAAGACCATCTCTGAACTAACGATACTTCCGTAAAAGATTACATGCCATGCCTCATATGTAATATATCTTCTCTTTATCCCGTAACTTTGCTTTTTCAGTAAGCTACCCTACTTGTCAGCACATCTGGAGTAAATTGTTTTTTTCGCAACAGAACCGCCAGTCAACTCAGCTGAAAAATGTGGGCTGTAATGAAAGTGTGTCTATCAGCATAACAGATCAGATTAAACCTGACTTTGCGTTACTCTGTTTGAACAAAGTGGCACATAAATAAACACCGCGCTCAAACTGGGGGAGACATTCTGACCACTAAACTCTGCGCTCACGTTCACCCTATACAGAGAGCTCATATACAGGGCACCAATGTAGAGGACAGTAAAGTTTGAAAGTTTAAAAAAATAAAGAAATAAATTATAAATTTTAAAATTCGACATTTTTTGGAGAACATTTCTGTTTGGACACCTTGAAGGAAAACTTAATCATTATTATCCATATATTATTATCATTATTATTCCATAGCCAAAAGTTCTTGAAAGTAACTTCATAAAGTGCTCAAAAAGTATTTCTATCAACCTGAAAGTCTATATCAAAAGACTAATGCCAAAAAATGAACTTTAGTAAACATTATATGAAATTAGCAAACTATTCTATATTAAATTGAGTGTGCCGGACACTTTTGTCATATCTTGAGTGAGTATCTTTGACTAAATTACTGTTTGTCATCCTCAACTTCACCAAAACTATTACCTAGCAAAATTTGGCAAATTATGACAATATAATCCACATGTTAACACTACTATTCCTGGTCAGGATTCACTAACAAGGCCCACTACAGCCCATACGCAAGCGCATTTCATTTGGGGTTTCCACTGTACATTTTCTTACACAGACTAATTGCAGGCTGAACTAAGATACACTAGATTAAAATGAGCAGTGTGGGATATGTATATTATTTAAATTAATTTCTCTGTCAGGGCTTGTGCTTTTACTCAATAAATGGGATGATGAAGCTCAATGCAGGCAATAAAAGTTATCATACAAAAAGCACCTTTCCACAGGGCTGGTATATTCTCAGTCACAGGTGGAAAGTGTGAATCAGCTAAACTCTTTTTCAGGCAGCATACAGGCCCAGAAACAGCACAGGCCTAATAAAGCCCTATACACGTATTTAACGCAAACCGTGCTCAACAGTTCTTAACACTAAGAGCTTGGTTGCCTCTAATCCAGGATTTACAGAAATCCAATTCGCAGAGAGGAAAAGAAATAATTTTAAAAACACATATAAATGATTAAGTTAGTAAAAAGTATTTGTTAACTGGAGATAAACTGTGTTGAGGACTATTTTCTAAGAGAACATTCCAAAAGTGCATTTCCACGTCCAGACGAACTTGAACGCGGATTAATCTGTCTGTGCTTCGGGCTTCGCCAGACAGCCGGGGGCTTCACCTTAACCGCGCTGGTTCACCTTACTTTCTTTATTGTATCTTAATATTTGACTTTTTATTATTAATATTATTGTAACCCCTGATTAAGAGCGTTAGCCGCGCCTGAACTCTCGCATTACGAGCTGATGAATGAATGAAAGTAGATTTTTTTGTCTTTAATCCTGAGCAACATTCGCGGAGGAAACAGCCGACACTCTGGCCAGGTTTACCCGTGATGCGGAACGTGCGAACCCGCTGTTTAGCAGCTCGCCCGCAGTGCTGTGAGGCGGGTTAGCAAAGCACGGTGCTTTCAACCTGCATCCTTTCTCACATACGTGCATGTAGCCTAGCTTACTGTCACGTAAAAGTTTGACCAACACCGCGTGTTTATTTTTTGTCAATGCTGCAGACAAAAGCTGAAGCTCAGAGCTGGCTGCCGGGTCGAGCCCTCCTTACCTGGGGTTGGTTCGGTTCCAGTAGACGGCGTAGCGGTCGGCCATCACCTTGGAGCTCGGCTCTTGGCTAAATACACACATCCAAAGGATCAGGCAGACGAATATGATCATTTCCACTTGCAGCATCACTACGGCGAAAGTTGGGGCTCTGTCGTTTCCTCTTGGCTGGCGGGGGGGGAGAGCAGAGCTAGCACGGGCTGGTCAGCTTCACACTCAGCCCTCAGTTCACTTTCATTTACACCGTCCTCAGCTCAGCGAGCGCTCGGACTCATACAAACAAGGCAGACATGCAGTAGAAGAAATGTGAAACTGTCCATGCGCTTACTTCGCCTGTAAAATCAGCGGGGCTTTTTTTTTTTACTGAGGTGTAAAAACTCGAAGCGCAGTAACCGGTAACGGCTCTCACTCTCACTGTCCGCGGGTCTGTATCACTTCAAACGTCGCTCCTGTGCTGGAACTTGACTGGAGCTCCACACATTCCCCACACCGACAGTCCGAGAATACACATACAGACAGTATTCAAGCACAAAATCCGAGCTTTGCCCCCCAAAACTGCAGTTAATAGAGCATGTGTCAGTTCGAGCAGTGAGACCAACCCGTTCTTTTCTTTTCCTCAGTGTTGTTCCTGCTCTCTGTGGATATTTTCAACTCGTCGCCGCTCCGCTCGCAGCAAGGTTAGTCCGAGGATTTCTGAGGAGAAGAAGTAAAAACGGCTCCTTTGTCGGCGTTTTCGGTAACTTTTAAACCAGCATCTTCGGGGGCTGAAGTGGTGTTGTTTGTTTGTTTGCGGCGTGTCTCCTCAGAGCTGCCTGAAGAGAGTCTCGTCTCCTTCCTCAGCTCAGCGCTGTGCTGGAAGTGTCACGGATGAGGCGGGGAGGAGGAGTCCCTTCGCCTGAGGGAGAACATGAGCGAGGCGGACTGACGGCAGACAAACACAGCCACAAACCCACTACCACCATTCCACTGATAAATAACGAGGGGTGAGCCGAGGAAGGCGCGCAGCTTTCCTTATTCCATGCGGAGGTGTTTTTTATTTATTTCTTTTTCTTCACTCCGTATGGGAGAAGGTGAGGCCAATGGCAGCCGACGGTGGAAAATGCAAGCGTGGATTCGGCTGCAAGCGGATGCAGAGCAACGCTATTGGTCCAGTGTTGGAAATGGGCGTGGCCGAACGGTGTGAAACCCCGCCTCTAACCTTGACATAATTCAATTAATAAAGGTAACTGGCGGATGAGAGAGAGAGAGAGTGTGCTGTTAGTAGATACTAGACTGATCTGCACGCGAAAGGGAAACAGTATGCCAGTATGCACTTACAATAATACCGTCATAATTTGAAAATTACACATAAAACAATAATAATAATTACAATTAAATTCGATTATGGTGCAATTTTATTACTGGTATTATTGTTTTGTTATCTATTTATTTGCGTATTTATCAGTCTGATGGTTAATGGTTGGTTGGGTGATTATCATCAACATCATCGTCTGTAAGCATCGCCAACTAACGGTTATAGTCTCTGAGCTGGAGTCTCATCTTGAAAAGTGGACTGTTATTGGCCATAGGAGCCCAGGCCCGTCATTAAGTAATCTATCCCCTCCCACGCAATTACAGTCGTCTAAGTGGACCGGCTGATCCTCATGACCAAGTTTAATTCAGTATTAATTCGACTGCATTTAAGTTTTTTTCCATTCCAGCTTCTCTAAATTGCGGGAGAGAACACACCATGTCCAATAACCTCACAGTGGCTTAATTGCCGCCTTATAACCTAAGTACTGATTTTGTTCTCCAGTGCGGGAACCGGCTCCGCTCTGCAGGGCTCAGTCAGACTCCGGCCGGTGCACAGTCAGTCTAAAGCCGCGTGTTTGTCGCTTAGCTGTGGCTCAGAGCTGCTCTTCTCTGCACTTGTTGCGTGGTGAGGGGATGTTGGTGAGGAGGTGGAGCTCCTCGGCGCCCCGCAGCGGAGGTGAAGCACAGCGCCGTATGAGGAGGAGCACCATATTCAGCCAAAGACAAGCGGACTCCGCAAGCCTCACTGCCGCTCCGCTGCCCGGAGAGCAGCCACCGGCCTGCGCGGTGCTAACTCACTTAGCAGGTAGGCTAGGAAGGAAGTGTTTACATGTGGAAATAAAGTGAAGGAGATGAATATGGTGTGTATGAAGGCTCAAACAAATTTATGAATGGCAAACTGCTGGAGGGCAGCGAGATCCAGCCTGTCTGCATTTCCACTGTTTACACTGATCTTAACCACAAGCCGTCAAGTCGTAATTAGATGTCAGGCTGGTGAGGTAAGGTTATGGCTCAGAGAGACATTTTGGTGCCAGACAGGTTCATCTCACTGACAAAGACCATCTCTTAACAAAAAGAATAAAAATGGTTGCTGGAAAATGACCAGTTTTGGGGAATTCCAACTTGGAAAGCTATTTTCCAGAAAAGCACAAAAGAGCTCCAAAAATGGTCAGACTTAGGGGGGGAACTCAGAAAAACGCAAAATTTGAAGAACCCAAAAATTGTGAGCTGTAAAAAATCTCAGAGTTGAAGAACACCAAAAATGGCTAGATTTACAAAACTCTCAAAGTTGGTGAGCCACAAAAATTGAAGAACCCAATACCAGTGAGCTATAAAAAATCCCAAAGTTGAAGAAGCCCCAAAAAGGCGAGCTTTACAAAAATCTCAAAGTTGTAGAACCTCAAAAATGGCAAGATTTACAAAAATCACCTAGGTGTTGAGCCACAAAAAAATTAAAGAACCCAAAAAGAGGGAGCTTAAAAAATCCCAAAGTTGAAGAACCCAAAAAGAATGAGCTTAAAAAATCCTCAAAATTGGTGAGTTTTAAAAAGTTTGAAAAGCTAGAGAGCCCTAAAATGGTGAGATGTTTTAAAAATCTTAATGCTGAAGAATCCTAAATTATTGAGCATGAGAAAATCCAAAGCTGCAGAAAAAAATAGTAAGAAAAATCCTAAAATTAAGGAACTCCAAAATGGCAAGCTTTACAAAAATCTCAGAATTGGTGAGACACAAAAATTGAAGAGCCCAAAAAGAATGTGCTTAAGAAAATCCCAAAGTTGAAAAACCCCAAAAATGGTGAGATATACAAAAATCTCAAAGTTGATGAGAAACAAAAATTGTGAGCCTTAAAGAAATCCCCAATATAGTAAGCCCTAAATTAGTGAGCTGTTGCTTTATTTTTTCTGCAATGTATTCAGGCCTTTAACCCACCACCTGTCTTTTATGGCTTGCATTGATGTTATGTTTGCAGAACAAGTGCCTCCCTGCATGGTGCTAGGCCTCGGGGCACTGGTGGAGCTTCACCTCCCTTAATTACAGCATTACGGCCTGCTCCTCAGCCTACACCGCCGGGCCGCCTCCTACACTCTGGTCAGCGGAAGCAGAGAGGGGGAAGGGTGCTGAGGTCATCGCACTGACGCTTTCATAGCCTCTTCACAACCACAGCAGCAGGGCATTCCTGCTGAACTATAAACAGACCCCATACTGCCTCCATCTTATTTCAGCACTAAAACACGATATTCTCTCCATTCGCCTTTAACCCAGGGGTGCAGAATCTCAGTAGATAGTTTGATTACTTTTTTATGCCCTGTAATTTTCTTTTGAAGGACAAGCTGTCGAGAAATAGACAAAGCTGAAGCCCGTCCTGGAGGCAAAATTATTTGAATTGATTGTGACTGTAAAAGGAGAGAATAACAAAACAGAAGACTGCACTGCTGAATTCCTAATACAATGAGATGTTTACACAGAATCTTAGAAACAGCACTGAAAGACTTTGGCCAGTATTTTTTTGCGATATCTTTCTGGAAGTCACACTCAGTCCTTGACGATCTGCAGGACACATCCAGCAAATATTGCAAGAAGGAGTTGAAATGGTGGTTTTCCATTCAACATTACAGCATTAATATCATATGGCTGATCACATTTTCTTATCGAACTATTAAATCAATTTCCACACTCGCTTATGTGTGCTGGCACTTTACTTAGCAGCAACAACAAAATAGGCTCAACCACATTCAGCAGAATGATCATTGATCGGTTTGAGTTCTTTCTCACAGTGCTCTACCACATGCTGGTACATTAGAAAGCCTATACTCTGTGTTCACATTACAAGCCCTATTACTCAATCCTGATTTTTTTTCCAATCTAAATACTCTCAACATGTTCAAGTGGTCAGGTATCAGATATATATTCAGTGTAGTGAAATCTAATCACATAAGAAAGTGCCTGAAATCTGATTTGGAAAAAAAAATCTAATTTCTCTGTTCACACAGCTCAGAAAAAATCAGATCTGTGTCAAAAAAATCTAATTTGTGCCACTCCAACTCTGTAATGTGAACACATTACAGAGAAAACCATCTCTATTTTTAGAGATAAGCGTGGGCAATATGGCAAAAATAATGATATTTAAAGCCATTGGTACATGACACATCATAATAGTTTATTTTTTTTAAGGTTTCTGAACACAAATGCACCAACAATGGTGCTACATTGTGAATTAAGAAGGAACTGGAGAAAGAATCAGACAGGCCTCCCGTAACAGGTCTAAGGGGGATTCACATCCTATGTGTTTTTGTGGCCTGAGGCACTTTTTCCCCCAACAGTGCTGGCCACCTCACATTTTATGCACCCTCCACAGCGGTCTTCTATGCAGAGCACTCCAAGCAACCTTTGAAAAAGTTCAGCTCGAGTGGTCAGCCTACAACATGACCGTTGCAGTCATTACAGTCAATGATTACGCTGAACTGTCTGATTTCACAAATCAAAATGATCATCATAAATAGCAGCTTCTTTTAATTTAGCAGCAGCACATTTATTAAAAATAGATCATAGATCTTTCTATAATAATAATAACAATAATAATAGTGCTTAGCAACGTGGAGATACAGAGTGCTCAAATGCACAGTGTGCACACCTGCAGTCCAGCCCCTGCAGAAATGTGATTGGCCACCATAGGGCCCTCCATGCTAATACTTGGTCTGGTACTTGACTGGTTAGGTTGTCAGTGCTGGATAGGGTTGGGTATCGTCCACAGCTTCTTTTTAAGTGGTTATTTTTTTTACTGCCGATTCTTCATTTAGATTCTCTACATGCATTTAGCTTCAAACTAAATGCCTTTC